TCTCCAGACGGCCCTGGACTCAGCCTCGGCCCTCGGCTGAGAGGTTTCTCCTGTCTACACGAGAGCTGTACACACTGCCCTCGTCCACGGCGAGAGAAGTAACAGAAATTGACAGTAAGCATGTGGAAACTTGCAGGGCCATTTCACGAAAGCATTTTATGCCTGTCGCATCGGATATTAAATAATATGGGCTTGTATTCTGTATGTTATTTTTATATCCTTTTTTTCAGCAATTCATTTCTACTTTATTTTATTAAAGTATTGGTCCATGATCAATCGAAAGAAACCTGGCCCCTCTCCACAGAGGGACGGAGAGGCTCTGCTTAGGAGCATCCCTCCACCCTCATCCTGAGAACGGTCATTAATCGCAACCGAGCTCGCCCTTCATGGTCCAGATCAAACGACGCTTCCTCTGTGAGTTTTCCCCTAACCGTCCCGCTTTGAACTTGTCTGCACATCTGTCTACGTAAGCAGAGCACTTTCTTTAACACCTTTCTGTGGCAGTCGCCAGTCTGTGTCTTCTGCTACAGCGCGACATGTGTCTGCTTCCCTAGGTTAGTGGTTGAAGGCGAGACCCCTGAGGCAGAATATTCAAGAAAGGGGGAAATGCTTTTCATTCTTTACGGATGGGCAAAGTGCTCAGCATCAAGGTGAAGGTCTTCGCCTGGCACCCGCCGGCCTCTCAGCCTCAAGTCCTTGTTTGAGGGTCACACGTGAGAGGGGCTCTCAGGTCACACCTGGGACTAGTGCCGTGCCTTTGTCTGGGCTGCGTCCACTGGGGCACTGTTTTCACTCTTCTCTGTCTGGTTGATACTCGTGTGTCCGTCCAGCCTCAGCTCACAAAGCCTTTCCTTCAAAATCGATATTAGACGCCCTTCTCCCTGGACGTCCCCTGCATTCTGTGTGTCCCCTGCCTAGCCACCCCCCATGTGAACTGAAACGATGCCCTCAGGTGTCTGTCCCCCCCGCCCCTCAAGGCTATCACCTTCTGGAGGTCTCTGCGCCCTCACTGCCAAGCACAGTGTGTGTCACACGGCAGTGTTCACAAACACCTTTTATCTGAATACGAGCTCATTTTGAAGCACTCAAGGAAAAAAAAAAAAAGAAATAATTGTCGGTTCGTGGAGCTATCGTGCTAGCCAAAGCAATCAGAGGAAGGCTAATTTAGTTTAGCCCGAGGCTGACATTACTGATTGCAGATCTGAAAAACACTGGAGAGAAGGTATGATTAAAATCAGCGGCTTTTTTGTAGGAACGAATATTTTCTTCTGCCAGGGAATGCTGGGATCAGAGATTCAGATTCTGAACCAAGTAGAACTGAAGTTATTATATAGACTCCACTTTTCCAATGAGAAAATTCTTGCTTCAGATTCATAAAAAGCCCATAACCGGGGTACGACGCCCGTGGTCCAGAATCCGATCATGAAGCGAAGGGGGGGCACTGGTGGGAGCCTGTGAATGACGTGCGTGACATGTGCTACCACAGAGGCGCTCGCGGCACCATTTCCTGTTCCTCACATCTCAGGCCAGCTACCCCGGGATCAATGCGTGGGCCTGAGGCTGTGCTTTGGAAAGTCACCTCAAGTGATGATCTGCTAGTTCCTGGCCAGACTTTGTGCTGTTCACCAAGGAGACGCCCGTGGTTACCAGGACGATGCAGCTGCCTCAAAACAGCTGGAAGTTACTCGTTAATCGGAGACGCACCGGACTGGCAGAAGATGGCGAGTGGGGACCAAATCCAAACCTCACTGTGGCGACGGTCTGAAGGCTCATATTCCACATGAGGCCCTGTCCATCCTGACCAGCTGTGTTTTTAACTTGTGCCATCTCTGTAAACTGAAGACTAGATGGCCCACCTGAGCATAACACCCCTGTGGATTAAAAGTAAAAATAAAAACTCCTGATGACGCTGTGTTGGAATCTAGATAATGCTGTAAAATGTTTTATGGGTCTTTGCAAGAATTATACTTTTTATTGAATCGTAGAGTTGGAAGACAACGGAGACCTAGCAGATCATAAGGATCTGAGCTTTGGTCTGACAAGCCACCTGGCCCAGGATAAGTTATGTCATCTTTCTAATCTTCAGTTCCCTTATTATAAAGCAGGAACAAAATATATTTCATGACATTGTGAGAATTAAGACAACTTATATGTTTCAGTTCCCTTATCTACTGTACGGAGAGAAACTTACTGGTATTTTAATGGTTACGTAGCACAATGAAGGTAAAGTGCTGGTCTGGGTGCCTGGCGCGCAGCCCCGGCTGATGAAGACTAGCAAACGCAGCGAAGGGAATGATGAAGCTAACTCTTCTGCAGAGAATGCCGCATGAGAGGCACTGTTTTAAATAGTTGATATGTGTCGTCTGAGTTAATCTTCCTAACTGCCCGATTCTCTGTCATTTCCATTCTGCAGAACCCAGGCTGTCTGGCTCCAGAGCTGGCACTGTTAGCCAATAAGCGACGATGACGACGACGATGACGACGGAGATCTTGACGACGATGCTGATGGGTAAGGCCTGGCCCGTGGGAATTGCTCGATAAATGCTTGCGATGATTGAAATGCTGGTTTTATGTGTAAAAATTTGTAGAGATGGAAGTTCTACATCCCTTTCAGGCACTCTCGCAAGGATTAAATCACTTCGTTCCCTTTCTTATATCTTAAAACTCTCGGTATTATTTAAGCCACATTTTTCTTTTTCAGATTTCTAGGGAAGAAAGGAATAAAAACCTTCCTGAAATACTTACTCTATTTGAGGCTATGTAGAAAGTTATTAACCCCAATCCCTTCATAGATTTTTTTTTTATAAGTGCCAACTTCTTGTTCCCCATCTATTTAATCTTATTTGTTCTTTTCTTTCCCAGTTTTCTTTCATGTCTCTCTTTGAAAGCTGACACTTTCCCAATCCCGGTCCCATCGCCGTGGCGTTTAGCACGACGGTCACTCCTGAGAGCTCAGTCTTGTTTGAACCCAGTCTCGCTCTGCGTCCTCCTGGAAGAGGTCGCAGTCGGAGGGAGGTCTTACTTTTCTTCCTTCAGCTGATCTTGTAAATCTAACCATTCATTTAAAAGGGTTGATCTGAGGCTTAAATGTGATGATGTTTGTAAAAGTAACTAACTATAGCATGGTGCCCAGTAAATACCAATCAAGACATTCATTGATACCGGATGAGGATTCTGAACCCCTTAGTTAAACATGTATTCTCGTACCCGTTCTGGTGCTGCGAATCCTCTACTGGCCTGTGTGTCCACTGGGAACACGTGGTGTTGTTTGCATGTCCTCGCGGCCTCCGGGGCTGTTGGTGATCTGGTCCCTGCCACTCTGCCAGCCTCCTCCCTGTCCATCGCCTCCCACGCGGAGGTGCTCGCCTCGGTCACTCCGAACAGCCTGCGCCTGTGCACGCCGTCTCCTACGTCTGGAATGTCCTGACTCCTCGAGCACCTGGGAAAATCCCGAGCATCTTTCGAGAGTGAAGTCGCGCACGGCGCCCTCCGCGAAGCCCTTCCTCCTTCGTGCGCATCCTTCTCTGCAGAACCCGGGACGCTGCTTGCTGGTTTGCCTTTCTCGAGTCCCTTCCTTGAGGGGCGGGACTACGCTTGACTTTTCTATCCCTAATGGCTGGTGTGCATCAAGAACTTAGGAATGAATGACCGAACCGTTCTCATTCTTCAGTCTTCTTACGAGCACTGTCCCCCATGACCCTCGTCTCCCACGAGCACGCATTTCGGCTTCATTCATCTGTCGTCTTGCCGTGGAGCTCAGAGCCCACCCAGCAGCTGCCCTCAGTGCTCACAGCAACGAGCACCTGTTAAGTGAGCGACTACGGAAGAAAATCCAACCATTCGACTGTTCACGTTTACGTTGTTCGCCCAGTTGATATGAAATCTTATGCTGTTTTGTTCTAAATAACTGTATGTGGATTTTTTAAAGGAGCACATGACTTAATTTTTATAGTCCCCAGAATGTGAAAGTAGGAATTTAGTTTATCATTATAAAGATCTTTCCCCTTAGAAATGACAGAACTTTTCCTAATTTCCTGATGTGGTTTAGAGGTTTTTAAAATGAGGCTTTCTCAGGGTGCCGGGTTAAGATTGTTGATTAAAACTGCATCACAGTACTTCTTACTCCTAACAATTAGCAAATAACAAAAAGCTCCCTTCGCTCCCAAAGAACGATTACAAACAAGAACCAAAGAGGAAGCGGTTATCACTGAAGGTAATCAAACAAAAGCTTTGTGGAAAGGACACTGAAGATTCCAGAGCGGAGTGGAGGAGCACGTCACAGCCTGGCTGTGACCCCCGTCCCGTCTCCCCTGGAACAAGGCTGCGCGCGCTCCCCCCCACCCCTCTCTCTCTGCAAAATAATCTTTATCATTTGCAATTTTACAGAATACCTAGGCCTTCCTTAGTTACCTCTGCAAATTGGCCAGAACACGATTTCAAATGTAACATCTCCAAATAATAAGTCTTTGCTCAGGAAATATTAAAAACATCTTAATCGATATTTTTAGGGGCAACAGCAATACTAACTGGTTTGAAGACAACCAGTCTACGAAACTGCAAAAGGGTAGGCAATGTAGGGTCTGGGGGAGGGCAGGAGAAGGAGAAGGTGGGGCACAGACGACACACAGCCTGGATGACCCCAAACGCTCCTCAGGCTCTCCAGAGTCAGTGACAGCAGAATGGTTTCTAGGAAGAGGATTCTATTCGTGAATTTCTAGTGGTGGTGGGTGGCTCACAGATTTTACATGTGGGGAATCGGGATGTATGGTGTCTTCCAGGGTTGCTAGTCCAATTACTGCTTCCTGGCCAGGAGGAACGGTGAGGTAAAATATTTTTCCCTGGAGAACTCAACTAAGAAAGCCACAAAGTGATCCACAGTTTGCCATGGATTAATTTTTCTGGCTGGCTGATTAGGGTTCGGATAACTTTCTCCTGTAGTTTTGGGATGGGTCCAGCTTTGGACCCAGATTGTTTTCTTGGTCCATCAGTGGGAGGATTACCTGTAAATTATCCAGGATGATTCGGAGGGCATGCACCTGTCTTCGAACAGCACCTGAGAACCTTTCATAGGTACGGGCATCGTATTCACTCATTTGGATCTCCTTTAGCCTGAAATCGAAGGGGGCAAAAGAGAGGACAGCTGAAATCATGCACACGTGGGTCTTTCAGTCCCCTTCACCTGCTGCTAGAACTGCAGCAAACACCTTGGTAAGCCAGGTTGCCTCTGAGGAGAAAAGGCAGGGTCGTATCTCCAGCCAGGGGATACCTTGCAAAGGAGGGGATGCCCAGGAGCGCGCTGGTAAACGGTTAATGAGGTGCCATTAACCATTGAGGGACTGGAAAAGGAAGCCCTGACGGGTAGTGTTTGCTGATTTCTGTGGAGTCAATACCCCGCCGTGATGGAGTTCAAGCTGCCAATCGAGGGTTCGCTGAGCACTGAGTTAGAAAGACACGTGCGCGACTGGCTCTCGCACCGCTGCTGTACCCCAAAGATGCATCTCGAAGTTGGCAGCTGGTCAGTTCGTGTGGCAGCTTCCTAGAAGAGTCCCCATGGGTTGCTTTTTAAGACCAAGGACATGTATTTCTTGACCAAGATAATACTCCAGGCCCAAAGAATGTAATGTAATGTGTTGCTATGTAAAGTACAAGGGTTTTCTGAAATCGCTGACTGTGTTTTAATACCATCGTGGCTTTGAAATTCCCTCTTCCCAGTACGGTGCTCCCTTTGGTCGTTTTTCATCGTTTGTGTCTGCCGTGGCCCCCGCCAGTGTACTCGAGGCCCCCAAAACACATTGTGTGGCTGTACCTTGGGGCTCTCGCGCAGGCTTCTCCCCTACACGGGGATGTCCCCTCCCTGCCTCTTTGCCTGCTAAGCCCCTCTTACTCTTCAAGACTCAAGTCAATGACCACCTCCTCTAGGAAGCCTGCTCTGATTCCTGAGGTCTGTCTTCTGCGCTCCCTATCATTTCACGCTTATCTCTAGAAGGACAGTAACTACCTGTGCTACAGCCTCCTGTCTCGCCAGGCAGGCTCTATGCTGCTTTAGGTTAAGGACTGAGTCTTTCTCATCTGTATACGTACAGTGCCCAGCATGTACCTAGCATATAATAGGTGCTCAAAAATAAATTGGAATGAATGACTGAAATAAAAATAAGACACTCAGAATCATTTAAAATGCAGCATCTTAAACTAATCATATATAGAAGGTTCATTCGCTGAGTGAACCTACCTTGGGTTTTACAGTGTCATATTTATAACACTAATGTCATCACACATTTCTATAAATTTCTATAAATGTAAAAGGTGTTGATACTGGGACAGGGAATAACTAACACAGATCCCAAAAGCCTGACCACAGTCTGGCCTTCTAAGCTGCTGCATGTGTGTGTGTACGCGCTATGCACGCGTGGATTGTCGGAGGTATCTTACCTTGGGTTTTACAGTGTCATATTTATAACACTAATGTCATCACGCATTTCTATAAATTTCTATAAATGTAAAGGGTGTTGATTCTGGGACAGGGAATAACTAACACAGATCCCAAAAGCCTGACCACAGTCTGGCCTTCTAAGCTGCTGCATGTGTGTGTGTACGCGCTATGCACGCGTGGATTGTCGGAGGTATGGGTCCAGGTGTATAGCTGAGACTCTTATCTAGGGTATATTATTATCACCTTGGGCTGAAATGAGAATGAATGGTCTCTATTCCGCCCTGGCAGGCCAGGCACTGGAAAGAATCCGTCCAGCACAGGGCAGAGTACTCACCGGCATCACATAAAGTTAGGCACAGACTCTCATGGGGCGGTGGGCAACCCCTGCCATGCCACCCGGCTGGCTGGGTTAGCTACCGCCAGCTCAGGTTTCAAGACCCAGCTCGAAGGCCACCTCCTACAGTCCTGCTCGATCTCTCTGATAATCATTCCCTTTCACATGTCTTCAACAGATATCTACTATAGAACCTATACACGTGATCGCTTTAATAGATACGTTTGTTTCCCTCGATCATAATGTTTTCAAACTTTATTTTCCATAATAAGAAATACGCTTTAAGACACTGAGAGGTGGTGCGCACAAATGCACGTGTGTATGTGTATATACGTGAGTATAACTGAATCAAAAATTCAATGAAAAACACGTTTACTGCATGTGTAGCACTCCGATATTCTTCTTTTCCTCTGGGAGAAGGGAACGCGTCTTGTTTTTTTCTCTGAATCTGCATTACCTAGCACGACGCCTGACACAGCGACATTCAATAGTGCTGTCGCACAGCCTTGGCACTCCGATATTCTCTTCTTTTCCTCTGGGAGAAGGGAACGCGTCTTATTTTTTTCTCTGAATCTGCATTACCTAGCACGATGCCTGACACACAGCGACATTCAATAGTGCTGTCGCACAGCCTTTGAAAATACTGACTATTAAAAGGTAAATACCTGACAGGCAAATAATATCTGAATGGTTGTTTCCTGAGGTGACATGCCAAGGGGCCTTCTAAATGTATTCTCTGTCCTGAAGATCAGAAACGAATGTGTGTCTAGGACTTGACCACTGAACAACACCTCTTATGCCTAGTCTTGGCAATCTCTTAAAGCCTCTCTATAAATTTTCATTAGATTAAGTTATGTCTCAAGTATCAAGGCTGACAGACGCTGGGCACTGTGAATATCATGGGATATGCTACCTACCCCCTTCACACCTAGCAGGTCAATATGCTCTTTTCCAAAGAAGGGAGATTAAAAAAAAAAGTAGACATAGATTGTCCTTAGCAGGAGGACACAGACACAGACACACACACAGACACACACACACACACACATACACACACACACACACACACAGAGCCGGGCAACTGGTAAGTCATCTCGAGCAGAATGGTCTTTGTAGACAGATCAGAATTAGCTCTAGTTACAGGGCTACCTCTGGCACGACTGAGCTGCACTCAAAAAACACCACATGTTGTTCTAATTATGAAGAAATCTGGAAATCATATTCGGGGCTGTGTCAGCTTTCAGAAAGATCAGCTACAAGGTGTTCAGAAGTGATAACCAATTCTGAAAGGGAATGGGGAGAGAAAATAGGGAATTTTAGCCTCTGACGCGGGCGAGCTTCCCAGGGCCAACACTCTCGAGCCCACAAAACCAGCCGCAGATGCACTTTCTGCTGCGTGACCCGGGGCCAGGCTGCTGGGCGCAGCTGCTTCACAGCCTCGTCGTCTGTGCGGCTCTCTGCACTTGGGGGGCGCAGTCTGTTCTTAAAAGGGTGTGTTTACTGTTACGTAAGAGTCTGGGAATTTTAGTTCTCGTCTTACTTTTTCGTATAGGTCAGACTTAAATACTGTAATTTGGGATCAGCTAGGAGGAAAACGAACGCGAGCTGAGATCCACTGCGGAAGGCTGACTGGTTCCGCCGGCGGCCGTGGGCGCGGTTTCCAGAATGTGCCGGCCTCAAACGCGCCTGAAGCGTGTGCAGAGCGCCGCGGCGTCTAGCTCGAGCGTGTTCACGGCTCCCTGTTTCTGTCCTGCTTCCCGCACACCTTGCGCTTGTCTACCTGTTACTCCTCCTGAATTAGTCGATCCGACATACGGAACCAGTACTTGGGCGAAGTCCAGGCGTGAATGGATGCTAACTGAACGCTCGCTTGTCTAGAACCCGTCGGTGGTCTCGGGCTCGAGGCAACGTGGTGGACCCCTCGAGGCGGATGGGGAGGTCCGCCTGTCACCTGGTTTTCGCCAGCCTCTGAATTCAGTGTGAGAGGGAGACACCACCACTCGTAGGCACCTGTCCATTATTCTTGCCACAGACAAGTATGAATGTTCGCCATGCGTCAGGTGCTAGGTGTAGGTGCCAGGGGCATGTTACGGAGCAAAGCACTCCACCCTCAAGGGGCTTATTGTCCGTGGGGAGGCAAACGGTTTCGTGGGACTAATTGCATAGATGGGGGGACCGATGGGAACTGGGAGGAAAAGCACAGGGCGCTGTCAAGCCTCACGGGAGCAAGCTCTGTTCTGCATACGCCTGGGGTTGCAACACCGCTCTTTAGAAGTGACTGTTGGATGATAGTGCAGAATTGTTTCTTTTTAAAAAATGTAATAATCGCGTTGTGAGTTTGTACTTTTTTAAAGAGTTCTTATCTTTCAGAGATATACCCTTAAATATTTATGATGAAAATATAGGATATCTTGGATTAGCTTCAAAACTATCTGGGGGTGCGGCCTAGGAGTGGGGCCTGAGTTTTCTTCTTGAACTTGGGGGGACAGGTCCATTATATGTTCCTCTCTACTTCTGCCTCCCCGCGAACTCCTAGTGTGGCAGAGCATCTATCCATGTGTCCACTTACTCAAAAATGGAGGCTGGACATTTACTTGTGAGATTTTGGTTGTGGCCACAATAGAAGCTCATTAGCTGGGGAGGGGAGCATGGTGCATATCTAGTTGGTTCTTTTCCTAAATGGATACCGTTTATCTGAGGTATAGAGCGATATTCTAATTCTCACAAGGCTTTTCATCACAGTTTGCCTGTCACCTTTCCGGAGACGTTTAAACTGCTTTTATTCCAAAGTGGTTATCTGTCCTCGTACCCTCTCTGAGAAGTGGAGGGGGGGCAGTCGCTTATCTCCAGAAGGGCAAATGCAGGCACGGTGAGGACAGACGAGTGGATCCGGGTCGTCGGGAAGCCGGCGGCCGGCCGGAGCGCGGTGTGGCTGGCGGGGAGAACCCGCACGTCTGTCCCCACTGTGCTGCGCCGTTTCCTGGCAGGACGTGTAAGCACAGCGTGTGATGCACGGACAGATGCCCTCCGTGGGGGGATGACCTCAGGCATGCGAGCCCGCGGTGCTGATCTGCACCCAGCTCCTTCCATTGGGCGCGATGACGCAAACCCGCATCCCAAACCACTGCCGAGCCCCTCGGTCCCCAAAGAGACATGGTGCCGCTCCTTGGGCACTTTTCCCTGTTAGCTGAAGAACACGTGTGGATGGCTCTTGATGTGTCCCGTGGCTTCCCATCTGTTAATGTCCCCATCGAAGTGACCCAGGACGGTCCGGGACTGTCTGAAAGCCACAGGCCGGCATCAGCCCGATTTCAAGGCCTCCTCCACTCACTGACCCAGCCTCCCGGTCAAGCCCACACCGCACTGTTCCAGCCGGTCCCCTTAGTCCCGAGAGGCAGGGCTGTCGCCCATGGAACCCATGCTCACCCGTGCCCTCCCCAGGCGAATATGATTTGCCCTCCTCCTTGAATATGATTTCCAGATTTCTTCTGGATCCCCAGATCCAGCTGGGCTCAGGCCCCACCGCACAGCTAACCTTGGCCTGCCCTTCCCTGCACAGCCTCCACGCCAGGGGACTCCGGCACTTAACAGGGGTGTGTCTGAGTGTGAGTGTGTGTGCGTGTGCACTAGTCCTTTCTCCACATTGACCCACGAAGTCCCTGAGGGCAGGAAGGGACCCACGTAGAGGTACCTGAAGCCCCCGTGTGGCCCAGGAACAGAGGTGGAGAGAGCGAGTGATTCGAAGTTCAATTTCTCTCTAAGAGAAATATCTTCGGTTTTACCTCCCAGTGTGCTGTGTTCCACCTTCCACACCGGCATGCGTAATCAAGACGTTTAAAAGAGCCCGAGTGGAAAGAATGAGGGGCCATGTTCAAGTTCACTCAGTTGTGCCTTTAGGAAGGGGCGGCTCTGGATTCCCGTCCGTGGTCCACGCTGCTGTGGGAGGTGGAGAACCGCACACACCTGGGCCTCCTGGGCCCGCTGTGCTTTCCGGCTCAGCGGCCGGCACCGTGCTGGATGCGGGCCCCGCTCACCTCTGCTGAAACGCCCTCTGGCCCATCTCCCTCGCGGCTCTCTTCACCTCCTCGGGAACCGCGTCCTTCTCCTCCTGGGAGACCTGGTACACTCTGTGGCCTGCGTCCAGCCGGTAAGGACCCCCTTTGCCACCCAAGCCGGCGGTGTCTCTTCCTCCTGCGAGGAAGCCGTGAAAAGCCAGGTGGTTACCAGTCCGGAACACAGAATGAGTCAGATCACGAATGGATTAAAGGCCGTCCCGTGAACATAATAATTGCACTTAAGTAATAGTTAAATATTCATATGACCTTCTTCTGGAAACAGGGGGTGTCCCCCTCCCCTGCCGTGTTCAGGATGCTTTTCCTTTTCTCTATCCAGCCAAATCTTATCCAGATTCAAGGCTCAGACCAAATTCGTTGACCCGTAATCTCCTGACTTTGCCTCACAAGGATCAATATTCCTGTAACTCTTCATTACCTTTTAAAATTTATTTTTCTTTTCTCACCAACTATACGATGGATGGATCGTATTTTATATAACTCTCTACGTTTGCACCTGTAAGAGTGGCTTGACCGTCATAAATAGTATATATTTATTAATTAAATGAACAACACTTTCCTCATGTTTTCTTATTTTTCCTCAAAATAAGAAAGACAGCTAGGTGATAGGTACTGTTTCATCTGTTTTGCAAATGAGAGAAATGATGCACAGAGAAGGAAAGTGACTTACTTACAACTTCATATCAGTGGCTTAGCCAAGATTAGAAAGCAATTATTCCACCGACTTCGACTTTTGGCTTAAATAATCTACAACAGATAGACACTGCCGGCTTCAGAACCGTTTTCCATATAGATCCAAGTTCACATGCTTTGTGTGTATTATGTAATACTGCATAAACGGTGCATGCCATAAATATAGATCTAATGCCTAGAAGGCTAGGTAGGTAACATTGTGAGCAGTGCTGAGAACTTTGGCTCACTAGAGAGGATCTGCTTTGTCTAAATAGATTCAAATTCAAATTATTTTAAAACACTACGTTGACCTCAGGAACATATATATCCGTCAAGATTTGGCCTCGGGCTACCGGTTTATTACCCCTGCTTTGTAATGATTAACATACTGGGAGCCAGTTTCCTTTGCTCCTTCGCACACAGTCTGGGAACCGAGAACCCAGGGAGGGTGGCAGGGGCCCCCGCAGCGCGCGCGTGCCACACGGTACGGGATGGCGCTGCGTGCAATCCGGGAGCCCGCCTGCCTGGGCTGCAGTCCTGACGCGCTGCTGACGGGCCCTGGAGAAAAGCTCCTTAACTTCTGTGTCTCAGTCTCCTCTGCGAGATGAGGATGCTCACACCACTGACCTTGGGGCTGTCATGAGGCTAAAACGCTTAGGACAGTATTGGGCACGAAGTTAGAGCTGAGCGACTGCCCTTACTATTACTTTTTAGACACCTTCCAGTCACACAATGGAGGTCGTTTCTAAGTTTCGTAAAGTGGAAAATTTTAAAGCTTGTAGGCTTTAGTTAAATTATGCTACATTTTTATTTTCTCCCTTGGAGCCCGAATCGGTGTAATAAGTCAAAAGCAAGAACTCAGCACGTATTGCGTCCCTTATCCAAGTCCAGGTAGGTCATTTCCTTTTGGGAAATACCAGGACGACAGCCTATTAATTATGGTGTTTTTACCCTTTGATTTGAGCACAGCTTATTTCATTCTTATTTAGAAATTTGTGGTGGGAAATTCCTTCTTGGAGATGGGAAATTCCTTCTTGGAGATGTGTAATTCCCGGCTCTCACTCGTGGATGGCCTCTAGGCAGAGGGGACCAGTAACTGGACAGTGACAATGAGCTACAGAGGCAGAAAAGCTATTTAAGTGACCTGCCTCCCTTCCCGGCAGTGGTACTCCTTAGGAACGAGTGGATCATGAATCAGAGCTTAAAACTTCCTAGGTGCCGAGATGACATCATTTTTCGAGGAAAGGACCCACAGCTGTTTGAAGGTGGGTGTGAGTGACGGTCAGCAGGAGTCACATGGTCCCTCGGGGTAGAGTGGGCACGAGGACAGCTCTTCATGACCTCCACTTCCGAGAGCCTTAAATTTGCACTAATTAAATGAAAATGCTTGCTGGGGGTTCTAGACTTCTAGGCATCATCTTGAAGCGAACAGTGGATATCCTAGATCAGTTCAGAGGCAGGTGGAGAACAGGCAAGGAGGGGCTTTGATAAAGCCAAAGGACTCAAATGACTTGTTGGGCCAGAGCTAAGTTCAGTACAGAGAATTCCGAGGGAAAAAAAAAAATGACCGAGAGAAAAAAAGAATCTGAAATAAAGGAGCCTTGAAAATTGAAAAATAAAGACTGCAGGAAGCAAAAGCAGGATTTTCAGTCTGGACAGATATGTGAGGCGGCAGATTTAAGGTGCAGGGCAAGCCAGACCCTCCGCTGCAGTGCGGGCCGCCGCTGGGCAGTCCACGTCTGGCCGGCTCGTTACACGATGCGCTCCGTATGGATTCAGTCTTGCTGGTTTGATACCGATTTCCAGATCAAAGGACGTTTCTAAAAATACCCTTTCTTCAGAGCTGAAGCTCGATGAATAAACAGGGTAGGCAAGCAGTCTGCAGGCCTACTTGATAGCGCATTGTCCCAGCACAGAAACCATTTCCTCCCCGGGCTGTCAAGGCCAAAGGCACAGAGCATCCCTAAGGAGGGGGTAAAGTACGGAGCCCGGGCCAGCACTCCTCACGGTCGAGATAAGATCAGACAGTGCACACAGCCTGGCCCGGCTCCTGCGGCCCAGCGGTGGTGTCTGCTCCAGCTGCCGCGGAGACAGAAGTCACGGGAAAGCAGCCAAGAGGAAGGAACGGCCCCCGCCATCGGCCCCAACTGCGACCTACCCTCTTATCTCAAGTCCTGCATCCTCAGCCCTGCATCCTCAGCGCACTCACTTCCGAGATGTGGAAGACGAGGACCATTTCTTCTCAAAGTCAGTTAGTCAAGAAAGAATTTTCTATAGCTTCCTGCCATGATCCCAAGGGCACGGAGTTTAAAAGAAGGGATCGACACTTGTAATGACTACATTCTTCTCGCCAGGTCTCGTGCTCAATGCTCGATGATCATAATCTCATTTAATCCCCACCCCAACCTGGGAGACAGTTGATGTTACCCCCCTTCTAATGATGAAGCGACTCTGCTAGCATCTGCGTGGCCTTGGGTGGCACAGTCCGTGGGACTCCAGATGCCAGCATCTTCTTATGTCCTGACGTCATGCTGGGGCAGAGGGCAAGGGCACGGTCCCCCTGACTAATGGCGGAGGCGGGAGAGGCGTGCTGGTCGCCAAGCCCCTCAGGGGTGCTGTGCCGCCTCCACGGGCTTGTGAAGGCTCAGGACGCCTGACCAGAGGAATGGCAGGGCTACCAACCTGTGCCGCCAGCCCAAGTGTTGCCGCCCACGTGGGGCATGTTGTCTGGGTCCTCCTTCCCGTGTTTGGGGGAACTCACGTCTTTACCACTGTCTCTGTTGATGGTTATCTAGAAACGAAGAATTGAGACATTATCACTATTCCATGACCAACCCCGGAAGCTGCAGGACAGAAAGAAGGCTTTTCCCCTCAGCCCTTAAGGCATCTGACCACCTCAGGCCACAGGATGCAACAGACACATTTCATCAGATTTAACATCCAATGAGCTGGGAAGAAGAGAAATTCAATTAAAAAAAAAAATTCTTTATAAAAAAAACCAAACAAACAGAAAAGGAGCTGGACTGGGTCACAGACGTGCCTCAAGCATTTATACAAGGAATGAGACCCGCCAGAGGCGGGCGGGGGGGGTCTCGCCAGACTGGCACTTTCTCACCGGTTTAAAAGGCTCACTGCCCAGCTGTTCCAGCTGAGTCACACACGGCAGATACGCGCCGACCTATACACCTGTCAAAGCAGTCCCGCTCACTGACAAACGTCATTTTGTATCAAACGGGTGGAGAAGCAAAACAAAATGTGTCTGTCGTGCTTCAGTGAGGTAATGTTATACACACGGACACTAAACACTGCTTATTTATTTTCTGGACCCACTCTAATTTTATTATGGTATTTCGCAGCTTTCCTAATTCATCTTTATTTTAAAACTGGAGTTACTATTTCTGCAGTTCGAACAATAAGCGGCACTTCAGCCTTCCTCTGGGAGAGCCTGTGGCTCGTTGGTCCCCAATTTCATTCAGCACAGATTCTCCGAAAGGACTGACCAACACGCAGGAAATCTCGCCCTAGGGAGCAGTTTTGTGTGTATCATTCCACAATAAAAAGGACCCGAAGCAGTCACAGTCCACGCAGCCTATTAGCCTGCTCCCAAAGGTAACGATGTTCAGGGCAGACCGTATCGAACGTTCATTTATTTGTTCAAATAAGACTGGCAGGACAACGAGCAAGGTGCCACGGGCTACGACAGCCACAGAGGACCCGTCACTGCCCTCAAACCGCTCACAGCGAGCAGGGGGCTCGTCCTCGGACATGAGCGTGCTGGCAGCTCGGTCTTTACAGGCTGGCCCGTTCATGCTAGAATCATCTGGATGTCAGGATCGATGAAGGTACGCAGGTAGCTTAAGGTCTTTGCAAATAAAATGGCTATTAAGAATGAATTCAACATGACTTTCATTGTCTTACATTGCAAAGAGATTTTAATTAACTGGACCTTTCTGCCAATAGCTTTGGCAGCATTGACAGAATTTCTGTCGTAACTTCAGAATACTTTAAGAAAATTCAGCAGCCGGGACACGACGGTCTATATGAATTCCACACACACAATCATGCTCTAAAAATGGGTGAACATAACTTTCTTCTTCTTCTTCTTCTTTAAATTAAACTATGCGGAATAGCTAGTAACATTTAGAGAACAAATGAATATTTAAAATACTTCCCCCCAAACTCGCCACCGCTTCCCAACTCCTCCAGAGGTAAGCAGTAAATTAAAACATGGATACTGACTACAAGAATTCTAGGCCAGCACTAGCCAATAACGTCTTGTGTCCACAGCACTGTTTACACAGGTGGCATCTAATATGGTGGCCGTGAGCCCAATGTGGCTATTGAGTACTTGAGGACCTGAACTTTACATTTTAAATTTTATTTAAGTAAAATTTAAATTTAAATAGCCACACGTGGCTAGTGACGATCTCACCGGACAGAACAGCACAAGGACAAACTTCTCAGCCTGGGAGACACTGTCTGCAGCTCTGTGCTGCACGTGACAGGTGTTCTCCACGGGAAATGAGGAAAACAAGAAAAATTCAACAGTAAAAAAGGGTTTTACTGTTGCTAATTGCCTAAGTCTAACTGATTTTTTAAGCAAATATAAGGGAGCTTGCATTTGTTATAAAGAGATAAGCTTATTTTGTATATATTTATAATAATAAATAATATTTAAATAGTACATTTATTACAACAATGCTGTCACTGTGTAACACACGTCTGGATTGCTTCTGAAAGGATCTGCGGAGTCCGCGGCAAATTCTTTTTTTTTAATACTTTTAATGGTGGCACTCGTGTGTTCTGTAAAAAATTGATTTGATTTTTTAATAAACAGTCAAAGGACACTTGGGAGTTTATTTCTGGTATAAACTATTTGCTAATTTGCTATGTACATATACCTTTTGGCGAGTCAATAAACTTCCCTGGGCCTCAGCAGAAATGAAGGGGGTTGAACTCAATGATTTCTACTGTTTCACCTAGTGCTGACATGCTCATGTGTTCTGTAAAAAATTGATTTGATTTTTTAATAAACAGCCAAAGGACACTTGGGAGTTTATTTCTGGTATAAACTATTTGCTAATTTGCTATGTACATATACCTTTTGGAGAGTCAATAAACTTCCCTGGGCCTCAGCAGAAATGAAGGGGGTTGAACTCAATGATTTCTACTGTTTCACCTAGTGCTGACATGCTCTGACTAATTTCATGATGCCAAATAAGGTGATTGAGCTTGGGTTTTAGTCAAAACCAGGTACGAGTTTTTTGAGACTAGTTTGCCTATAATTAGTGACTGTTCTACAGGCCAATTGTATAAGAAAAAGTTCCAAAAAATGGTCTGAGCAATGACAGAATTATTGGGATAACTGTTCTGAATACCGTTCCTCACTCTGTGTGTGTGTGTGTGTGTGTGTGTGTGTGTGTGTGTGTGTGTGTGTGTGTTTTCAGGTATCTTGTTTAAAAAATAAAGCAAAAAACTTCAGAAGAGGTATAGAAAACAAATTTCTATGTGTCCCGTAACTTCACTTCCGTCAAAAATTAGTTACCTCCTTTTAGACATTTTACACAATCCAGCAATGCTGCTGTGAGAATAGCTTGTTAAGTACTAAAAATGATGGACAAGGCAAAAGAAAAATCCCCTCCCTCACCTCCCCCTGCTACCTGTCCACCTCACCCCCAGCTACCTCCAAAATCATGCTCCTGAAGTCGTAAAGACACCTATAATGAGCCGCCAGGGAGGCTGAAAATTGGCTATGAAATTTCTGGGCAGAAAGGAACTGGCCTGTTGGCTGTCACCTGCGTGTCTTGCCAGGCCATCTGCTGGGAAATCATTGCTCGCCCTGCCAGGAGGGCAGCTCCACCCCCACCTCAATGGGAGTCTAGAGACGTTTCAACATCGGCAAATTCTTGACAGACATAATCATCAGCCCATTTATTCCAGAGAAACACATTCATAAAATTCCAGGGATACTTAAAAGCAAGGTACATGGGGCGATTATGTAACTTTGTGTCCTTTTATGAATGCCATTATATTCACAGGAATACACTGCTCCAGGTGGGTGGAAGGCCCGCATCTGTCAAGGCGTTCGAAAGCCATTTTAGGGCATCTCTTACATGAGTTGACAACAATTCAAAAAAGATACAAGGCAGGAAGTCTAGGCCGGTCCGGCCCGGGACAGGAAGTGGAACAGACACTAGGGAAGGCCTGTCATTTGAGGGAGCTTGTTTCCTGGGGGCAGGCGTGTGCTATAGAACCACTGGTTGCTCAGAGAGCTGGTAACTGCCGAGTGCTCTGCATGCAGTAGGCGTGGAGAACTTGGACCGCTCCTCCTCGGAGCGTTAGTTTCATCCAGAAAGAGCTCCAGTCAGTCATTCCAATTTCTGAAGTAGACACACTGTTTTCACTTAACGGATCAAAATTTTCCCCAAACCACAAAATACTGTGGACCCTCACAACTTTTGATGCAAACGGATGCACATGCTCAGAGCTTGGATGTATTTCTCACAGCTGACACAATCTGCTTCCTTCCTTTTAGGTGACTGTGCCTAAGAATCGTTAGCCTTTTTTCATATGAATTCACATGGAAAGGACATGGATCTTGTAAATTATAACTCATAAAAATGTTCCAGGGTAAAGCGCCCCAAAGCCAGAGCAGGGAGGGGACATGACTCATTAAAGCCCTGTAATTCTGGGCAAGGCTCATATATTTTGGGCTCCTCCTCAAGCTCATAATTTTTAAAAACCATCCGTCAAACGATATAAATAGCCAGAATATAATCCTGGAAGGAACATTAGCCCTCGGAGGTGTGGGGACAACACAGCTGAGTCCCTCTTTCCAGCAGAGACGAGGCGGGGCACAGCAGCCCTTCCTTCTCACCTTCCCACGTCCACTGCCTGTCTTCTTTTAAACAGAACTCAGACGAACCACGGTCGGCTGGAATTACGCACATTCGCCTTTGCCAGTGATTGGTCTAGGGGATGGCAAGTGACCGGAGATGCCCGAGAAAGTCTGTCAGGAGGTTTCTGGGACGGGCTTCCCTCCCAGGTCAAAGAGGTAGCTCACGGCCCTGGACACACCAGCCTCCCTCCAAAATGCACGCGCCCGCCGCCTGCGGACACAGAGCGAGGATGTGATGCGCAGCGCTGTAGCCTCCACCTGGTGACTATGCGGCCAGGGCAGGTGGCGGAAGGAAGGATGGAGGAGCCCGTGTGTCTGACCGCATTGCTGAGGTGCAGAACCAGCCCTGGAGCCACGAACCTCTGACCCTCTACCTACGTAAATAATCAATGTGCTAGTAGCTGAAGCTAGTGAGTTGGGTCTTCTGCTACTTGGAGTCGATTGCATGAAAACCGATTCATGTATTACAGGACGAATGAGAGGGGCGGGCCAAAGCGATTACCTCCATCGTTCCGCAGATGTCCTACTTCTAATGAGAAGATGTGCTTTAAATGCTCTGATCTCAAAGATTGCCATAAAAATATCGACAGAAATCCTACTTAGTGCAGTCGCCTACAATTTTCCTGATTGATTAGCAGGCAGTTGAATTCATTCATTCGTTCATGCTCTCATTCAATCATCTCTGTGTGTGTTTACAGTACATTTACTACTCCGTGGGATACAGAGACACACACAAGAGGATCTTTGCTTCCAGGAGGATGTTGATAAAGAGGAACGAAGTCGCAGCACAGGATTCTTCGGGCCGTAATGAGGCACTGAACACATCTGCCTAAAACACATTACTGTTTGAGGTTATTATTACTCACGAGTTAGAAATTTCTTTCATTGATACA